GAGAGAGAGAGAGAGAGAGAGAGAGAGAAAACATCTAGTATAGTCAAATTTGGTTTTGCCGTTCTAGTTCGAGCAGAAAACATGGTGAAAACATCTCTATCAGAAGATGAAGTGGTTATCAAACAAATCTCAGTTTGCTCTAAAACATTCAAAAAGAAATATACTAATGGTCGATTGTCTTGATTATCTTTGTCTGATGTTAACTCAGTTATAGTACTGAACTAGCAAAATTGTGTTTAAGCTCAATGGTCGATATACTAAGTAAAAAAAAAAAAAAAAAACATATAGAGAAGAAAAAGCACAATAATCTTGCCTCAGAAAATAAGAGCATTACCAGTGTCTCTTGACCATATGCCACTTTAAACTTCGCGTGAAGTAAAGCATTATGCTCAAGTATTGCTATATCTTCTCTGAGCGAAGCTATAACAGGAGCATATGCATGCAGCTGGGACTTCAATCCACAAACTTCATTCTCCATGGAACAAATCTTCCCCTTCATCATTTCTATCTCCGAAATTTTCACCTCGTGCTCATGCTCGAGAGTCTCACACACTTCACTAAGCTCTTGCACCTTATCTTTCAACAAAACCTCATTAATTGAGGAGACTTGAAGATCAAAACAAAAGGTCGATGCCTCAGCTTCCCACAGTTCGAATTCATTGCTCATTTCCTGGAGCTCGTTGCTTAGAGTCCGCTCTCGAACTGTATTCTCTTCCACTTCTTGACGAAGGAAAACGATTTCGGACTCTAAATTTTCATTGGCCATGTGAAGGCTCTCGATTTCCTTCTTCTGGTAGGAATTATTTTCGGAAAGCTCGAACACATTCTTTTCTAGTCTTTTCCTTATTTCAAAGGACTCGACAATGTCGGTCTTCAGCTCGTCCACTGTTTGAGACAAGTCCAAGTTTGATTTTTCAGCAGCCTCGAGCTTTGATTCCGTATCCAACAGCTTGGCTTCGGTCTGTCTTATGCTCTCTTTGCCGTTAATTATTTCTTTCTTCATTTTTACATTACCTTCCATGGCTTCTTGCATGTCTCTCTCCAATCTACAGACGAAGTCTTTAAGGACTAAATTCCCGGCCTCGTGCAACTCTAGTTTCTCCCTCAACTCATTCATTTCCTCTTCAAGTCTTGTGCTGACATCATGCTGCCTGTTCAGATCTTTAAGGATTGATTTCAGTTCTACAATTTTCTCTCTCCCAAAACTCCTCAAAGCTGCATTTTGATTATCAGCTGCTAAGAGCTCCATAAGAATTGCATCATTGTGCTGATTGACTTGAAACTTCTCCTCTTTTAGTTCATAAATTTTCTTGAGCAAATGCGTATTCTCCTCATTCACTCGAGAATATGATTCGTGCAACAAATGATAAGCTTTCTGCAAATCAGCTTGTTTATCACAAAGACTCTCCAACTCATCCTGATAGAGAGCAGCTTCTTGAAGATTTTTGGTCACATTGGATTTTAACAGCTTGTTTATCTCTAGAAGCTCTTCTTTTTCTTTTTCCACAAAATTGAGCTTCTCGGCCATTATCTTTGATTCCTTCTCCAAAAGTGCCTTATGTGACTCGATTTCATGACCCTTGGACTCCACCTGCTCGAGTAGAGCAAGTAGAACGGAGTTCTCGACTATAAGCTGCTGCTTTTCGTCCTCATTTCTAGAAGCACAACTTTTCAAATCTTCAATGCTGACCAAAATATGATGCACCAAAGTTTGTTCATTTTGGACCTTGATGTCCTCAATAACACAACTGGGGCCGCTTTCCATGCTTTTGAAAATTCCATATATGCCCAATCTCAATCTCTCGATCTCGTCCAGTAGGAGCTCGGCTTCCACCTGCTGCTCGAGACTTTCACCCTCGAGCTCGGATATCAATTTCTCCGCCAATCTCGATGCCTCTACGTGCTTTTGGCACTCGATAATTAGAGCACAATTTTTCTCCTCCATATCTTTTATGAATTTCTGCAAGATGGAAATTTCAAATTGTGCTTTCAGTGATTTATCGAGTTCATCCTCGGATTCCTTCTTTTTCCATTTATTTTCCTCCTGCAAGAGATGGATAATTTTTTCTAGCCCGGCCAGTCTCATCTCGCTTTCAAGCTGGGTATATTTCCTTTCCTGTTTTTCCTCACACAAGGAAACCTTAAGTTTCTCAACTTGACAGTGCATGGCTTCTTTTTCCCTCTTGACATCAGCATACTTTATTTCCAGACCCGTAAACTGCTTTTCGAGGCTTTTAAGCATATTCTCAACATTTTCCAACTTCAAGACTAAGGTATCCCTTTCAGACAGAAGGAAAGACCTTTCGTTCTTGAGCATTTGGCATATTTCTTCAAGTCCCTTCGATTTTTCCCTCAAACCTTGAAGCTCGATTTTCGCCTCACACAGTGTATCTTCCAAAACAGCATTCTTCCCCAATAAATTCTGCATGTTATCAGTCATAGCCTGCAGCTGAGACAAAATAGAAGCTTTCTCTACAACAAGATTGCCCTTCTCTCCACGTAGAAGGTCGCTCGATTCTTGCAATTCCTTCACCTCCCTACGCGAGACTGCCAGCTCAGCATTCAAATCCGACAGGGTGCTTTCGGCGATCAAATTTTTCTTTAAAGCTCCTTCAATCTCCTCTAGCCTCTTGGAAAGAATTTCTTTCTCAACATATTCGTGCTCACATTTTTGTCTAAGTGTCGAGCTTTCGTCACGCAAGCTCTTAAGTGAATCCTCAACACATTTTGGGTTCAAACCAGCTGCTTCAACTTGCTCAACTAATTCTCGGTAGGTTTTATTTAACCCCTCAATTTCTTTTTTCAAGCAAAACATCTCCTCTTGAAGAGAAGCAGTCACATTCACGTGGACTGAAACCTCATTTCCAAGTCTATCCCGAATCTCCCGTAAGCCAATAATTTCGTTCTGCATTTTCTCCATTGAAATAGATGAAGACATAATTGTTTGTCTCAAATTGCCATTTTCATCCTTAACCTTCTCGATTTCTACTTCCAACTCATTTTTGCAAACTTCCACATCTTTTAGCGTCCGGACCACGTTATTAATCTCCGAGGCTAAAACCTTCTGATCATCTTGAGATCGAGAGTGCAAATTCTGGAGACTCTCAAGAGTGGCCTTGACTTGTGCATGCCTCGAATGCTCGTCTTCCAAAAGCGCCTCGAGTTTCTCCAATTGCTCCTGCTTTCCCAGGAGTTCTTGATCTTTAATAGCAATTTTCTTCACCAAGTTATCCGCCTCGACTCTTAAAGATTTATTAGATGCCTCCACGGATGCACATTTCTTTTCGACATTTTTTAGTTTCTCATTTCCGGACAAGACTTCATTATTAAGCCGCTCAATGTTGGTTTTAGCAGAAGATAAATCTTCCTCGAGCTCTGCCATTTTCTCCAAGCACTGCTTATACTCAATAGCCATATCCTCTTTCTCCTTGTTCAAATCAGCCAAAGCCCTTTTCAGTTCAAAGACTTCATTTTCAGCTTTTTCCGCTTGCTGCTTAAGCAATCCAGCTTCATTTTCGTTACTCGATATTACAAACTCTAAATCCTTTATTTTCTCAAGACACTGCTTGTACTGACAAACCACCATTCCCTTTTCCATCTCCAATCTCGAAATTTCATCTTTCAGATTTCGAGACTCACTTTCTGCCTCACATGCTCTGCTATCAAGTCCCCTCATGTCTTCCTGATATCGAGAAGCCATAGCCTCGAGATGAGATATTTTTTCCAAATAATCGTTTTGTCTGATCATCTGAGCAATTTTCTCAACCTCAAACTGAACAAGTGCTTCCTTCAGGGTCTGAACCTCAATTTCAGCTAGACTGGCTTTCTCACCGAGCCTCTTCGAGTCATTTTGCGCGTTATTCAACTCATTCTCGATTTCAGATAGCTTCTCAAGACACGTTTTATACTGGCTGAGAACATCTTCCTTTTCGGCTTTCATATCTGCAAGCGCTTTCTTTAGACATTCAACTTCATTTTCTGCCTTTTTCACTCTGTCGATCTCGTTAAGAACCTTCACTTCCAGATTCTGATCGCGGGCCCCCGCTTTCTCAGCTCTGAACATCTCGGGCAATTGCTTCAAACCCCTTTTTCGTGGCTCCCCTTCAGATGGAGAAGGTCTGTGTGCATTGTTCTCAAGAATGTCTTCAGTGTTTAACAATGTGTTGGCAGGAAATGCCATTTCAGACGGTCCGCTTTCAGGCCCGGGCCCAACCCTCTCATGGGAAGGGGACGGCAAATGTGAATCCTCAACAAGTTCGAAAGGAACTTCATCGGGAAATGCCTTTGCTATGGTTTGCTGGCAATGCCTGAGCTCGCCCGTCGCGTGATTATACCTTTCAGCTAATGCACGGTAGGCCCGATAGAATTCTTCCACCAATTTCATTAGTTCCGGCCGCTTCTTGTAGTACATCTCGGCCCGTCGAGCAAATGAGTCTGCATCCTCTTCGATTAGCTTGATCATAGATTTGACTTTGCTGTCGATATCTGTTGTGATGTTTTAGACAGAGTTAATGACAAAATTAGTCTTGCGTAATCTCATCTTAATCAAATTTCAAAGGTAATGTAACACGTGGGCATGATCCTAACAGCAACTCAAGCAAGAATGTCAAAACATGCGCCGGATTATTTTTCAACATGGAAAAAGAAGATGTGTTATCATATCTGAAGTGTAACATTTGAGTTATATGTCAGTCTCTAAATATCACAAATCACCACAGCCTTAATCCCTACATTTGACAATCAAAACCCTCAATTTTTCAAAAATGCTACAAATAATCAGAAGAAAAGTTTGGACCATCTTTTAGTTATCCTGAGTTCTTAATAAATGTATCTATCATCATCATGCGAAGATAAATTTCACCTCGGGCAACCCGAGCAGACTGTTTCATATAACGGTATGAGCATGTGATGGGGAAAAAGCACGAAAAATATATAACAAATGCCACAACCAATAAAAATGATCCACAGAACTGAGTTAAGAAAAACTACAGACCTGTAAGATTTTCTTGGAGCCATTTTGAGTTCTTTGGTGTGTTGTGGCTGTCCCACCACCAAGAATACATGCGCCTTGGCTCCGAATGTGATAAGTTTGCCATAACTCCAGCTATGAACAGAAAACCGATGCCCTTTGTGAAACCCAGCTTTTTATACCACTAACGGCACAAAGTGCACTACCTACAAAACTGCACCGGAAAAAAGAAACAAGCAGCAAGAGAATCAAGTCAATATCATAATAGGATGCAATAAAGATAACTCGGGTAGTTCGAGATCACGCAAAACATGCTTTCGCATCTTTTGATTTAATATCGTAAAGTTATAGAGTATATTCATTCTGAGACGACCTCATATAATACCTACAGCTAAGTAGGCTTAAAAGGGACTCTGAAGAAAGTCATAGCAATAGATCAAGAAAATGGGATTCGACCAACAGCTGACGGCATGATCTCAAATTGATACTGTTTAGCTTTACATGAACAAAACCGTATTATAGCAGAACAAGAAACGAATCGAATACGGGGAAATCATATGCAAAATGTAACACAAGTGAACTCTTTACAGAACAATAAAACCAGGAAGATTTGGATGAATCCCAGAATCATGTTAATGTCAACGAAAGACACCCCCAATAATTCAGTTAACGAAGAATATATAATTACCGAGGAAAGCAGCTAATCATGAGATTATTATACAACAAAAAGGATCATAGTTTCTGATTTGACAAATCTGATTACACAAAAGTCAATGTAAGACAATAACCTTAATTTTGAAGAAAAATTACCAGTGACTAACTCCAGATCAACAACTTTCAGAATAGATAACCCTTTTATTTTTTAACAACGCAAGCTTAGAGAAGAACAAAAGCAAGCAAATTCACACTACCCCACAGCTTCATGAACACAAAATTTGCAAATTAAATTGAAACCCACCATTTTAATTCTAGCGCAGACCCATTAACATTTCAAACAAATACTCTCAAGAAACACACACACACACACACACAAAAAAAAAGGAGATATTTTTCTGTTAAAGATCAAATCTTTGCAAATGGGTCTTACATAAAATACTAAAGATTCGATCTTTTTACACTTCACTGCAATACCACAAATGAACAGCAACACCATTAGAACTTACACATCAAAAAGCTAAAGAAAACAGAGTCTTTGCTCAGCAGCTGTTGTTCTCAAAACCAACCTAGCCGTCTTTGATTGGAGCAGACGGCCGTCTCAGAGTGACAAACAGTATAGTACTTCACACTGTGATATTTTTATGTTCTTTTTTTTTTACACTGTTTGTGTGAGTGAGTAAATGCATACATGATGGTGAAAATCAAAATAATTACGAGTGCACAATAATTGTTATTATAATTTAATTGCTCGTAACGGTGCGTGTTTTCTGGAATTATAGTGTTCTTTTGTCTTCGCTTTATCGAGTACACAAAACGTTGTGTGATGTGCTTATGACAAAAATCACATGATTAATTTACTTTTTTTTTTATAGGTATTTTGTCCAATTTTAAATCTCAAAATCTAAAAAAAATGTTTTTTTTTTTTTTTTTTTTTAGATTATCAATTACAAGGGAGTAAATAAGACTGAATTACTCCTTGAAAAATAAAGGGAAAAGGGGAAAAGAAAAGGACTTCCGAAAAAAAAAAAAATCTATTGAGGAACTGATAGAAAGACTAGTTAGTTTAATCTCTAAGGTATTGAGATTTAAGTTTATGAAGATAAAATAAATATATTTTTCCTTGTCTAAGAGTAAGAAATCAAGATAATTAAAGTTATTATTAATATGATAAGTTTGTCAAGATGATAGATAACTATTCTCTACGGCAGTTCTTTTTTAAAGATAGTTCAAGTTTTTTATATGTAGACATGGCCACAGTTGGCCCGGCCCGGAACCCTTTAAGGGGTTACGGGTCGTGTTGTACTCTTTTTTGACACGTCGAGCTGGGCCCGAGTTTTCTGACAAGCCACAATTATAATTTTATTTTTTTATTTTTTATTATTTTTTTGAACCGTCGTGTCGGGCCTATTCAATGAACCGGCCCTTAGATATAGTCAGGCCGATTACGGGCCTAGCATTTGAGGCTCGTCGACCCGGCAGGCCGGGCTGGGCCGTGAACCGGCTGGGCTTTGGCCACCTCTATTAATATGATAAGTTTGACAAGATGATAGAGAACTATTATCCACCGCTGTTCTTTTTTATTTCCACGAAGAATAAATTTGATTTGTAAATTGCCTCGATCGAATTGAGTCGAAATGAACACGAACGGAGGCCGATTTTGAGATTCGGTAACCTGCAAAACGTCGGGAAGGATTTAAGCGAAAAACCTCTAAAGCTCAAATCAGTCTTTGTCTATGAGAAGAAAGTGCAACAATAACCTGGTTACCCTTACATAATAGAGGCGTTTTAATGCCCAAGAGAGTCCTAATTAGGATAGAGATTCTCATGCATATACTTATATAACTTACCATGTCTCTAGGATCTGAGACTCCTTAGCAAGATACATTTTCTATCCTGAAAAGATTTTGACCACTCTTTACCACACGACTCTTAGGTCCAGATGTCGTAACCACGACCATGATATCTACCTTTCATGAGCTATGCCCAGATCGTAACCACGACCTCCAACTTCGCGACCTATGGGTCATGAGGTCCCATCGAATATCCGAGCTCCTGAGATTCTCCGAAATCCTAGATCTCTGACCGAGCTAACTTGTACCTTGAATTGCCTAAGTGAGTTCCTTGAACGAACTGAGCTCCCTAGAACCTGCCATACCCGAGCTAACTACTCAGGCCTGCTCCCTAGAACCGACCACTGCTGTTCTTTTTTTATTTCCACGAAGAATAAATTTGATTTGTAAATTGCCTCGAATCGGAGTGAGTCGAAATGAACACGAACGGACGCCGATTTTGAGATTCGGTAACCTGCAAAATGTCGGGAAGGATTTAAGGCAAAAACCTCTAATGCTCAAATCAGTCTTTGTTTGTGAGAAGAAAGTGCAACAATAACCTGGTTACCCTTATCTAATAGAGGCGTTTTAATGCCCAAGAGAGTCCTAGTTAGGATAGAGATTCTCATGCATATACTTTTATAACTTACCATGTCTCTAGGATCTGATCCTTAGCAAGATACATTTTCTATCCCGAAAAGATTTTGTCCATCCTTACCACACGGATCTTAGGTCCTGATGTCGTAACCACGACCATGATATCTACCTTTCAAGAGCTATGCCCAGATCGTAACCACGACCTCCAACTTTGCGACCTATGGGTCATGAGGTCCTATCGAATATCCGAGCTCCTGAGATTCTCCGAAATCCTAAATCTCTGACCGAGCCAACTTGTACCTTGAATTGCCTAAGTGAGTTCCTTGAACGAACTGAGCTCCCTAGAACCGGCCATACCCGAGCTAACTACTCAGGCCTATTCCCTGAACTATTCTAAGTGCTATATCATCTATCCCCCATTATATTCTGATTTTCCAAAACACAGTATTAAGTCATGCCTTTCGAGATGAAATATGACGGAAGGCCTATCCTTCAAAATTTATGATAAAGCACATGGAATATGCAATCTGGTTAATAACCTAATCAATTAATTGTAGAAGGGTCCACTTTGCATGTGGTTGATTCTTAATTTTGAGTATTAACTTCTTATCATCACATAGCTGGTTGGATCATTGACAAATAAACGGGTCTAAAATCGAGCTCGAGTTTGGCTCGTTTAATACTAATAACGAGCCGATTTCTAACTTTAACAAGCTAAACTATAGAAAATTATATAAAAAATTCTTTTTTCGAGTCGAGCTCGACTCGTTAACTAATCGAGCTTTAAATGAGCTGGAACTTGTCTCGTTTATCAAACGAGCGGAGCCAAGCCAGACTCGTTTAATTTAACAACAGTAATTGAGACTAAACTGCGTACAATTGCATTAAATTGTCAAATTCATTAAGTTGACTAACCCATCTGCCTAGTAATTATGAAAATATTTCTAGAAAGCAGAATTGACATAAAGATAGGAAATTTTATTTATTCCTTTTTTTCACAAATTTAACAGGAAATTTAAGTTTATATAGGCCATACTTGGTTGTATGAGTGGGTGTTGTTCCATAATGCCAAAAATAAACTATGTAAAAGAGAATCTTCTTATTTTGAAGAGCCAACAACGATATATGTTACTATGTACAAATGCTAAAGTCCCGTTACAGAATTATGCTGTTGGGTTCGTAACCGTCAGAGATAGTTGATTAAGGGTTAAAATCTTGACGGAATAATTCCGTAACGTGACCGTAGCATCTTCCCTTTATATGTATTTAGTACCAAAATTCAATAAGAAAAAAGTGGAATAAACGTATTATTATTTGGAAATGAAAAAGTGAATTTTGTAGTTAAAAATTTTATTCAACCACCAAAAAGATTAAGGGTAAATTGCGCCAAACCCCCCTGTATTATACGAAATCTGCGCGTTTTCCCCCTGTATTTTAAAAATTGCGCCATACCCCCTTGTAATATACTTTTACATGCGCGAAACCCCCTAAACCGTCAAAAATGACGGCAGTGGTTTGCACGCGCGTGCTGTGCGATTTTTTCTTCATTTTTTCACCCTAAAGTGCCTGAAATTACTGTTTTACCCCTAAAGTAATTATAATGACGGCAGTGGTTTGCTTTATATATATTACTGCTTTATATATATTATATAAATATATAATATATTATAGTTTGTAATATATTATAGTA